AGGTCTTGTGGGGGTATGGTCACTGACCACGCGATAAACACATGTGTTGAGGGCCCACTGGTGCCAGACCCTGGCTAGGCCCTGGGATAGGGATGGACTAGGAAGAGGCTTGGCCTTGAATATGACTCAGGCAGGTAAGGAAGTGGTGGGAAGGCAGTGCAGCCGAGGTGGCTGAGATATGAGTTACAGTCAAAGAACCAGCTGGCCAGGGCAGGGAGCAGGAGCACGGCCTGTACAACAGGGCCCAGCCAGGTGCCACATCCCGCTGGAGCAGCCTGTGCCACTGCCCATCAGATACAGAATTTGGGCTTGACTGCAGGGTATAGGGAATCACTAGATGCCTTGAAGGAGGGAGGTGAGGGGAAACATAATTATTAAGTATCCATCAGGTAACAGGCACTCAGTAGGTGTTTTCTGTGCCAATCCCTCTCAGACTCAATGTGTTTACCAATTTCCTGAGAATTTCATTAAAATGCAGAGTCTCTATATTCCATATCTTGTAATAACCTAAAATGAAAAAGAACCTGAAAAAGAATATATATATTTGTATATGTATGTATAACTGAATCACTTTGCTGTACACCTAAAACACTGTAAATCAACTATACTTCAATAGAAAAAAATTTTTTAATAAAACAATATAGGCATACCTTAGAGATATTGTGAGTTCGGTCCCAGACCACCACAATAAAGCAGATATCACAATAAAGCAAGTCACATGAAAAAAATAAAAATAAAAAAATAAAGATACATATAGAGATGAATTTTCTTTATAACAAATAAAATCTATAAGGCATCAAAAAAATGCAGAGTCTAATTCAAGAGGCCTAGGGTGGGGGTCTGAGGTGCTGCATTTCTGATAAGCTCCTAACTGGGATCACACTTTGAGGAGAAAAGCTGTAGCTCATTCAATCTGCGCCCCAATGCTGTCCAGTGAGTATTATCGGCTCCTGTTTATTGGCAGGAAAACTGAGGCTCAGTTTCTGGGCTTGCCTGAAGGCACATCATTAAAAGAGCTATACTGTCCCCTGCCCTCCACCCATGTGAGGGAGATAACATAGCCCCTAAGTTATCACTCTCTCCAAGCCCCTCTTAGTCTGCCCCAGGCTTGCGTCTTCCAGGTCTATAACTTCAGGTCCTCCTGTCCCAGCTGGCCTCCAGCCTGGAGTTTCTGAACTTGCCTGTGGCAGCATCTAAAGATAGTCTACCTCACAGGAAACCAAATACTATTGGCTAACTTTGCAATTAAAGATGCTCTCAGAGGGAAGGAAAGGGAAATACTCTCTGGCAGAGTCTGCGTGGGACAGGGCAGCTGACTGGCATATCCAGAGGTTCCCTTCCCAGGTCCAGCCCAGGTAGGAGCAGAGGACTCTTTCAGCACCTGTGGGCGAGCTGGGTGGGGCACTGTGGTCAGAGGTCAAAGTTGGTTAATGATGCTGGTTTGCTTTACATGCCAACAAGGGAGACCATTTTCCAGAGGATGTTGCAGCCTAAATGTCCAAGGGGCTTGGGGGTGATGGGGGGCAGTGAGTGATTAGATCATTTATGATATGCTTAACATAGTGGAATATGATTAGAAGTGTTAGTAATTACGTTTCAGGGACATGGAGAAACGCTCAAAAAAAGCATCATTTAAAATTGCATCTGCCAACTATTATATATGGAATGGATAAACAAGATCCTACTGTATAGCACGGAAAAGAATATATATGCATACACACACATATATATGAATCACTTTGCTCTACAGCAGAAATTAACACATTGTAAATCAATTATAATGTCCTAACCACTGGACCACCAGGGAACTCCCTATTATTTTTAAAAATAACTTTATTTTTTTTCTTTCTTATTCTTTTAGAGACTCACATTTAACTGTTTATGGGTGAAATGTTATGACATCTGGATTTATTTATTTATTTATTTAAAAATATTTATTTATTTGGTTGTGCCGGGTCTTAGTTGCGGCACAAGGGATCTTTAGTTGCTGCATGTGGACTCTTAGTTGCGGCATGCGGGATCTAGTTCCCTGACCAGGGATTGAACCCAGGCCCCCTCTCTGCATTGGGAGTGTGTAGTCTTAAAAACTGGACCATCAGGGAAGTCCCTGAATTTATTTTTAAATAATCCAGTAGGGTATGAGTGGGGAATAGATGAAATACTGATCATGAGTAGCTAATTGTTGAAGCTCGGTGATTAGTGCATGGGGGTTGTCTCTGCTTTTATACATGTTTGGAAATTGTATAATAAAAAGTTTTAAAAATAGCATTTGCATTTTAAATATACTCAATGTGAATATTAAAATATGCATAAAGATTGGATGGAAGAAGCTAAAAGCTAGCTGTAGTTGGTTCTGGGAAGTTGGATTGTAGATAGTTCTGAGTTTTTTCTTTCCTGTTACTTCCATGCTTTTTTGTGCCATCTGCATTTTTTTTTTTTTTTTTTGGCTGTGCCGTGAGGCATATGGGATGTTAGGTCCCCGACCAGGGATCAAACCCACACCTCCTGCAGTGGAAGCTCGGAGTCTTAACCACTGGACTGCCAGGGAAGTCCCCAAATCTGCATTTTTTATAATGAGCAACTATTGCATTTATAACGAAAATTATTTTAATAACAAATTGCTGACACACTTTGATGTTCAACGTTGATGTATGCTGTTATCATCATTGTGAGGACATTTGGGCTCAGAAGGTTTGTGTCATTGGAAAACATCATCTTCAGAAAGAAAGTATGAGTGGTCACACATGTGAGTGAATTGTGACTCTTGGCAGGGAAGAAAACCTATATCACATCTCTTTAAATATCTTCCCAGGCCCTCTTCATCTTTTTCCTTAAACCTATGTTCATTGGGAAACATAACACACTCAAAGGACAGTGTCCAGGTCAACAGCTTATAAATTGATCTGCTACCAAACCAACATCCAGGCAGCAGCAGAGAACCAGGCCAGCCCCCGGCAGCCACCCTCAGGTCCCTTCTTGATCACCACCCCTGCCCTCCCCAAAATCACCCCATTCCTGTCTTTTATGGTCATTGCTTCCTTCTTTGTCCGTGTAGTTTTACCTCCTACATATTCATTCCTAAACACTGTGGATTTTCTTTGCCTGTTTCTGACCTTCACATATGTGGATTTATATACAGTATGTCTGCTTTTTGGTTTGCATTTTTAAAATGCATTTCTACTGTAGGAGATGTAGATGCACACACAGAAATGTTCATGACAGAATTGTTCAAAACCTGAAAGCCACCCAGGGGTGCATCAGCATAGAACAGAAAATAATCGTGGGGCACTCACACAGTGCAATCCTATTCAGCAATAACAATGAACAGACCATAGCCACAGCAATAGCATGGATGAGATACTACCAGAAATGCTGCGATGAATTTACAGATAAATGCAAAATTGGCCCCTATCCACATGGCAGTTATCAAATGCATCACTACCAGACACAATTTCTTCTCCCATGAACAAGAATTATCGCATCACCATCAGTCATCTGTAAATTAGCTCAGACAGTGAAAGGGGGAGATGGTCCCAAAGGGTGTGCTAGACAGGACACCCAATAAAGGTTTTTTGGCCTATTAAAGTCTTTTATAATTTCTCCTTATAGATCCTCAGTGTAGAATTTGAGGCTCCTCTGTTTTCCCCTCTTCTGCCTTCTCTGTGCATCCTTTCCTGAGCCCTCCACTCAGACTAAAGTGAACTTTCCTGAAGGCTCCAGGAACAGGTTAGCCCCTCCTAACCCCACAATCCTCACTTCTTTCTGTTTCTGTATAGTCCCTCACACCCTCTCTGCCTGGCTGTGGACCCAGGAAACCTCCTTATGCTCATACTCTCAGAGCCTTTGGCTTCAAACCACACCCCACCCCATGCCCACCACCATCTTTATCAACCTGGAAGACCCTCCCAGCCTTTAAGACTCAGCTTAAATGGTCCAATCCTTGGGTTTCCCATCACTTTTCTTATACTCTTACTAAACAATAATAAAAATTCACAGAGACTATATTTCAGACATTTTTACCTCTACAGAATTGAGCACAGTGCCTACTGTTGGGGAAATAGAATGAAAAACAAAATCTCCAACCCAGAAAAATCTCTCCATGAATATGGTAGAGAAAGAAAACTCTTTCATTACTGAATAAGCATTAAATGTGATGTGCATCACAGGCAATCCGCTATGAGGTAGTAGAGACACAAAAAATCTCACCCTGGTATATGACCAGATACAACCCCTTACACACATGTTCTCAAGATACACAATGACTGGTGCTCAAGTAAGGGAACCTGACAGTCACACACAGTTCATCCCAAGTTTACCATGGTCATTGGGTTCATCATCTGTATTAGTTGGTTGGCTTCATCCAGAGGAGAAACAAACTTCTCATCCCTTTATTATCAGACGTAGTTGTGTAACTTGGAGCCAGGTTCCTGCCCAAGTCAGGCTCCTGCCCTCCCTCTGGGACTGGGAGCCTGGGCACCTCAATATCTGCATTTCAAAGAGATGGCTCCCGGCTCTGAAGCTGACAGAGGAAATGGTCACATTTTCTAAAGGGTATATACCCACATTTCAAAGAGGAAAGAAGGTACAATTACATGTTTTCTAAAATAAATACTCTAAGAAAAAGGAGGCAAGTGGACTCTTGTCCCTTATTTCCAACAGGGAGAATTAAGCCTCTTATTATTTTTTTTAGTTAATTAATTAATTTATTTTGGCTGCATTGGGTCTTCGTTGCTGTGCGCGGGCTTTCTCTAGTTGTGCTGAGCGGGGACTATGCTTCGTTGCGGTGCATGGGCTTCCCTTCGCGGAGGCTTCTCTTTGTTGCGGAGCATAGGCTCTAGGTGCACGGGCTTCGGTAGTTGTGGCACATGGGCTCAGTAGTTGTGGCACACAGGCTTGGTTGCTCTGCAGCATGTGGGATCTTCCTGGACTAGGGCTTGAACCTGTGTCCCCTGAGTTGGCAGGCAGATTCCTAACCACTGCGCCACCAGAGAAGTCCCAAGCCTCTTATTTTTAATTTTCACTTGTCCTTACACCAGTGTATGGTAAAGATAATTAACAGATATTGGCTTAATCAAAAATTAATTAATCAGCAAGTCCATCTCTTCTTCAGTTATTAAAAAAGGAAAATCATAGTCATTTCCTTTCTAAATTTCACAGTTCATTTTAACAGAGATAAATAAATACCATAAAGGACTTTGAGGAGGAAAGCAGAGGGAGGTGTGGCAAACCAAGAACAGGGGCAGGTCCTGTGAAGGGGTGGCTCACACACGAGCAGAGGGGCCTCACTCCATGTGTGGTTTTCTCCTGTTACTGGTCTTGGCTTGTGGTGTGTCTGGGCCCGTATAAAATGCTGGTGGGTGAGTCACGCTAAGTTGTTTTAGGTGGACTCTGCTGCAGGAATAGAAAGTCACTCAATCTACTTGTGTGGAGGATGGGGTGCAAGTTGTAAAATGTGCCCACTGCTCCTCAGCATGGAATTCAAGGCCCATCCATCTGCCCCTCTTCTTCCTTCTTGGCCTTGCTCTCTCTGCATCCTAAGGAGGGGTCTCATAAAAAATAGCTGTCATTGTAAATTGGAAAACCATCAGGTCCTTAAACTCAGGGTCCCAAGTAGCCAGGGGTGTGGGCTTGGGGCCAGACTGAGAACCTTCCTACGTGGCCCAAGGTGAATTCCAGATTTGTCAGGACTCAAAATTAACTAATTCAGCTCTCTGTCTCCAAACAGAACCTCATCTGAATGCTGGCCGCCTGCGAGCCCAGAAGCTTCGCAGGCTGCTGAGCAGCCACTCTGTGGACACGAGGCCACGCTTCCCCTGACCCAGGACTCATGCTACTCTTTAAAACTGTTTCCTTCTCTTTGGTCATTGTTGGAAAACTGAGCAGCCAGAGCTGGCCAGGCCCTCAGAGATGGTCCGGTCCAGGGCTTTCATTACATACATCAAGAAACTGAGGCCGAGCTGGAAGTGAGCTGCCCAGGGTCTGCCAGCTTATTTCAGGGTATGTGGACCCCTCTGAAGTACATGGCTCTGAAGAGCATCACTGTGTATTTGAAGACAGGAAATAAGCTGACCCTTTAGCCTTCAGCCTTTCCTTCTCCATAGAAAAGGATTCCCATTTCTTCACCACCATTGTTGAGAGCTAGGTTCTGGGGGTCTGGCAGTGAGGACCACCTAGTCATGGCTGGAGAGGCAAATAATATCCCCATCCCCTCCATTTCCCACCCACAGTTTCACTGAGGGTCAGCCTTCTGGGTCCTGAGTCTAGAAGGCAAAACCCAGGAAGAGTGTTCAGGGTCACTTCTTGAATCTTATCCATTAAAGGGGGGTCACCTCTACTATTTTTCAGTTCTCATTCTAGAGACAGGGCCTGCAGTAACATGCAGAATTCCCCTCCAAGAGGGAAAGCATGGTGCAGGGCAGGGAACACGGCTTTGTGAAGAGACACATCTGGGTTGAAATCCTGGTTCTGTTGCTCCCTTGGACAAATTACCCAAATCTTTCTGAGCCGCTGGTGGTTATTTTGCAAGGGGGCACAGTCATTTCCCATGAGGTGTTGTGGTGAGAATTAAATGGGGTCTTGTGTCTGGAGCATGACACTTAGCAGGTATCCAGGAATGGCAGCCTTCACTCCTAAACTGGGGCTTTCTGAGGATAACCTCAGGTTCTAGAACCTCAAGAGATGGTGGTACCCCCATGGGGAAAGTTGGGATCAGGGATCAAGCAATTCCTGAGTTTTGTTTGGTCCAAAGGAAAAAAATTAAGCCTCACAATTGGCATTAGACTGAACCTCAAACCCGCGTGTACTCGAGGGCCTAAAAAGCCATAAAAAGAGAGCAAGAAAGGTAAACAAACAAAATAAGACTCATTGAATCTAGAAAACTAAGCAGGACGTGAAGCCAAAAGAGAGGAGGAAGCAACATGAAAAAGACGCTGGGGAGAAGAAAGTGGATGGGGGCCAGCTAATGAGAGGGGAAGTGTAGAAAAGGGAAGCTGATTGGAAACAGTGGGTAATGATGACCAAAAAAAAAAGTTAAAAAATAAGTGAGCAGGCCTGAGAAAAGGAAGTGACCGGAGGAAGTAGAACAGGATCGGCAGTAGAGCCAGCTTGGTGTTTTTTACAGCAGGTCCTACAAAATTCATTTCAGCTTGGGTGTGAAACCCATGTGTATTCAAAGCTCAGCTTCTAGGTTCAGCCCAGACTTTCCCAGCTCAGCACCATTTAGTAAAACGTTGACTTAACAGAACAGAGGGTGAGGAGATCCGAGGACAGCTGAGGGGAGGTGTGCGGTGCAGCCTCAGTTAGTGTGGTGGGACCTGTGTTAGTGCTTCACTCCGGCACCTATCCTTCCCCTTGCAATCCCGTCTATATGAACCTCGCTTAGTAGATGCTGTGAAGGCTTATTTCACTGGATTCTTTTTTTTTTAATTTCATTTATTTCTTTTTGGCTGTGTTGGGTCTTCGTTGACGCCCACAGGCTTTCTCTAGTTGCGGCGAGCAGGGGCTACTCTTCGTTGCAGTGTGCAGGCTTCTCACTGTGGTGGATTCTCTTGTTGTGGAGCACGGAGTTTAGGTGTGCGGGCTTCGGTAGTTGTGGCACGTGGGCTCAGTAGTTGTGGCACATGTGCTTCGTTGCTCCGCGGCATGTGGGATCTTCCTGGACCAGGGCTCAAACCCGGGTCCCCTGCATTGGCAGGCGGATTCTTAGCCACTGCGCCTTCACTGGATTCTTGCACTTGGTTTCTGGTGTCCTCAGGGTCTGGGAGGCCAGTGTGCAGCCTGAGTGAAAGCCAGTTGATCTCTGGCAGCCCTTTGACCCCTAGGGCATTAGTCCTGCTCTTGTCTGCTACCAGGAGGCCCTATCTTCAGGCTCCTGGCCCAATCCTGGGACATCTCAGAGGACCCAGAAATAAAAGGTCCACCCAGCTCAGGCCCACCTTTCCTGAAAAGGTGCCTGGATAAAGCTATCAAGTTCTAGACACTTCATGTTATTACCTATTTAATCCTCTCTGTAATTCTGAAAGGAAAGTTCACTGCCCTGCTGAAGGGCTCCAGGGATATTCATGATGAGAGGATGGGGAAGGTGCAGGAAGAGCTTGGAAAAGGCCAGGATGTCAGAAATAAACAGGTGGCATGTGGCAAGGAGGTCCCCAGTCCCTCCCCTCTCCTTGCTGGGCACCTGGCTCAGGGCTGCCAAGTGTGTGCCCGTCCCCTTCTAGCCCACCTCCCCACTCTTCCCAATGACCCAGGGACATCTGCCCGAAGATTTGTAGGAGGTCCCTGTGTGTGAGGCATGCCGCCAAGAGTGGAAATCAAACCCACCACATGCAGATTTGGCAAAAATCAAGCCAATTCAAAAGCACCAAGTTCCTGGGTTTTCAGGACTGAACACAGGCCCAAAAGAGATGCGAAACGATTTTTATTGTCCTTGGACTCCTCTCGAGGTCAACTCTGCCAGCTCCTGACCCGGGGTGGGGGGCGGGAAGAGGGGGGGCTACCCCCAGCGTCCGCAACCTAGGACTACAAGGGCTTGACTGTTTGTGTTCCTACACAGCTGACTGTCTGGGAAGATGGGCTCCAGCAACAAGTCACCTGCACCAAGCGGCCACTCCCGGCCACCCGGCATCTCAGCTGAGCCATTTGAAACTGACATTTATGTCACTCAAAAATGGTTGCATATCAGCCATTTTATATGGTTCAACTTAACTTTTATTGATTAAGGTCATAGCCAGAGGCTCCTCTTTGAGAAAAGGGCATTGCAGCTGAAAGCAAAGAAAGCATACAGTTCCCTGGGGCTGAGAACTCCATCCCAGCCTGAGACGGCCCAGGTCAGAAAGCCTTGGGCCACTTCGCCCGGAAGAGTCTGGGTGAGATGCAGAGCTGGGCCAGGACACTAAGCAGAGGCTGGGAAGAGAGAAGCAAAGCCCTGGCTGGGGGGCCCTCGCCTTGGCAGAGACACCATCTTGGTGAAACCAGCATGAAAAGTATGTAGCGGGGTGTGGAAACTCCCCTGGTTAAAGAAGCATGAGCTTTGGTTTTAGTTGTGCTGAGTGGAGGCAGTGACGACCAGGAGGTGTGCACTGAGGTTTCTGAGGGCCTGTCTTGTGGTATCACGAGGAAGAGGAGGGGGTCCCAGAGGACCAGGGCAAAAGGGCTCCCCTTGCAGCCTCTGGAGTGAATCTTGGCTGGGAGAAGAGGGGATGGACAAGTGTCACTTCCCAACCTGAGCAGAAATGTCTTATCTTTCCATTCTTGTCCAGAAAAAAACAGGAAAAGAACAGTGGGGGAGGCCAGGTCACAGTGAAGTGCAGGGCTGGTAATTATCAGACTACTTAGCCCCCAAGACCCAGGGCAACAAGCTAACTGAGCACAGGCCTCCATCTGGGATCCATCAGCCCTTTCATGACTGCAAAGGCCTGGATGATGGTGACACTCCCTCTTGGAGTTGTAGGATGACTGACCATCCCAGCTGGCTTAGAACTGAGGGGTTTCCGACATGTGAGACTTTCAGTGCTAAAACCAGAAGAGTCCTGGGCAAATCAAGGCAAGGTAATCACCCTAGGGTGTCTGACTCTATGTCTTATCCCTTCAGGAACAGAAAGACTTAGTTGGTTCCAAGAGGGAGAGGGAAAGAAATGGCTCTCAAAGACAAAGACGAGCCTCTGGGTGCAGGCCTGCCCAGGGCTCCGCAGTATCTAGGACCTCTCTCTTCAGTGTTCATGCAGGAGAAATGAGGGTGCAGAGGGCAGAGAGGTGGGAGAAAGGAAGGGGGTGGAGAATGGAAGCTTGGACTGGAAGTGTGAATTACGGCGTCCCCACCACCACACCCCTCTCCTCCCCACTCACTCATCCTCTCTCCCCCATCCACACCCTGGTCAAGCTCGCTATCTTTCAGATAGACTTTTGAAAATTAAAGAAAAAAAGATCTATCTCAAGCTTCAAAAGGCTTAGATTCAAACGCTAACTGAGCCATTTACTGCATAGTTTCTGGCAAGTCACTCAGCCTCTCAGGGACTGGTTTCCTCTCTGTCAAAGGGGTCTCTTATAGCCTCCATCACACAGATTAAACAAGATAGCACGCATGACACTGGGAAAGGTACTGGTTAGACACCCAACCAAATGTTTGCTTCTTCCAGTCTGCCTATGTAAGGGGCAGAATTCCAACTTTGTTTCTCTGAGAACTAATGCCATTAGTTGTCTTCCTTTCTCATCCAGGTGCTCACCATGCCCACCATCTCCCCTGAATCAAGTTTAGAAGACTTTGAGTATGATGAGCTTGCAGAAGCCTGTGATATGGGGGACATCGTGGCCTTGGGAACTGTCTTCCTGGCCATACTCTACTCCCTTGTCTTTGCCTTTGGCCTGGTGGGAAATTTGCTGGTGGTGTTTGCCCTCACCAACAGCCAGAAGCCCAAGAGCATCACTGACGTTTACCTCCTGAACCTGGCCTTTTCTGATCTGCTCTTTGTAGCCACCTTGCCCTTCTGGACTCACTATCTTATAAACGAGCAAGGCCTTCATAACGCCGTGTGCAAACTCACCACCGCCTTCTTCTTCATCGGGTTTTTTGGAGGCATATTCTTCATCACCATCATCAGCATCGACAGGTACTTGGCCATTGTCCTGGCCGCCAACTCCATGAACAACCGGACTGTGCAGCATGGCGTCACCATCAGCCTTGGCGTCTGGGCAGCCGCCATCTTGGTGGCTGCACCCCAGTTCATGTTCACCAAACAGAAAGAAAACGAATGCCTTGGTGACTACCCTGAGGTCCTACAGGAAATCTGGCCTGTGCTCCGCAATGTAGAAATAAATTTTCTTGGCTTCCTGCTCCCCCTGCTTATTATGAGTTACTGTTACTTCAGAATCATGCAGACACTTTTTTCCTGCAAAAACCAAAAGAAAGCTAAAGCCATTAGGCTGATCTTTCTTGTGGTCATCATGTTTTTCCTCTTCTGGACACCTTACAACGTCATGATTTTCTTAGAGACACTCAATCTCTATGACTTCTTTCCCAACTGTGACATGAAGAGGGATCTGAGGTTGGCCCTCAGTGTGACCGAGACAGTTGCATTTACCCACTGTTGCCTTAATCCCCTTATCTATGCATTTGCTGGAGAGAAGTTCAGAAGATACCTTTACCACCTGTACAGGAAATGCCTGGCTGTCCTGTGTGGCCACCCCGTCCACGTCAGTTTCTCCCTGTCCCCGTCTGAATCACAAAGGAGCAGGCGAGAAAGTATTCTGAGCAGCAATTTCACTCATTACACCAGTGATGGAAATACATCCATCCTCCTCTGAAAGCCTTGTCTCTCCAGCAAGCCTGGAGTTTCTGAGACTGACACTGAATAATTAGGACAGATTTTTAAATTTCTTACATGCAAGAAACAATGGGTTTGATGCCCAAAAGCAATCCTGAAAGTATTTTTGAGAATTGTGCTCAAAATCTGAATGATAAAGGACAGGCATGTTTCTTATTGCCAATGTCAAGAGTTTCTTGTTTACAAATTACAAAAATTCAACGCAGATTAATTTAGCCTGAAAAGAGGCAGTATCATTCGCATTGTAACATGGGCAAGGGGGTGGCGAATCCTCAGAGTGAGTGAAAACTAGAGATTGAATCTAGCTAGAACTTCCTCTCTCTGACTCTCAAATCTCTGAGTGGTAACAGAGATCCCAGACTCACATAACACAGTTTTGTCATCAGAGAGGGAATGAGACCTATATCCCTCTGATACCAAGGTCAAAATTCCCAGGGAAGGGCTCTGATTGGCCAAGTTTGTATCAGATTCTCATCCTTGGACCAGGTGGCAGTATCCACAGGGAAGACATAGATAAGATGGCAGCTCCCATTCCAATCTTGTGGTTGGAGATGCGTGAAGACATATTTCCAAGAAGCTGGAGGGGTGGGTGCTGCTTTGATCAGATATAACAAGAGTTGCCCACCAACTTTACCTGCGTCTAGCCCAGCCCCACCCTGATCATACCAGCCAGCACACACCACCAACCTCTTCGCCATTAAACCCCCTCTGTCATGTCCCCAAACATACAAAGGTTCCCCAGCACCTACTGCATCAAGTCCAAGCTCAAATGCCTGGCCTCTGACACCCTCCGTCATGTGGTTCCACCAACAGATTTGCCAGTACCTCCTCTTCACAAAGGACTCCAGCCACCTTGTCAGTCAGGTCTCTTCAATCCAGCCACATGCATCGCCACCTGCTCCAGAGCCCAGGGGGATAAACAGAAAAAACAGTGGCCCATCTGAGAAGGCATGGTTTCTAGTCCCAACTCTATCACTTATCTGCTGGGTAATTTGGGGCCAACTGAACTTCAGTTTCCTCATCTGTAGAATGGAGATAACAGAACTTTTCATGTAGGAAGCATCCTTTCCAGCATGAGGAACCAGCCTCTAACTCTTGCAGGTTCCAACCCTCTTGTCTGGTTCCCAGACTTCAGCTTTTCCTCCACCTGGCACCGTGCTTAAGTGGTGCTGTTGACAGAGCCTGGAAGGGCCTTGCGGGCTCTGCTGCGTGATGTAGCTCAGACACAGAGGAGGCTGGCTCCTACAGTGGCGCTCAATGGACACTTGTAGATATACAGGTTGATAGCCTTTCCTGACCCAACCCTCCCAGACTGCCTGGAACATTTCCTCCCAATCAACTGGTGGCAACCCCATCTGGAGAGAACCCCATCATTCATGCCACTGCCAACCTGGACAGCCAGGGTCCCAGGAGCAGTTTTCCCTTTCTCAGTAAACATTTGGGATGGACTGAAATTTTAAAGCTTGAAAAACAATTGTGATGATGCTAAAGAAAATATAATCTACCCACACAGTATCTTCATCTGCCCACCAGACCTCATTCACACCCTCATGTGTTTCGAGTTGCAATCATAATGTACAGACAGTTTCATAATCTGCCTTTTTTTTTTTTTTTTTTGCGGTACGCAGGCCTCTCTCTGTTGTGGCCTCTCCCGTTGCGGAGCACAGGCTCCGGATGAACAGGCTCAGCGGCCATGGCTCACGGGCCTAGCCGCTCCGCGTCACGTGGGATCTTCCCAGACCGGGGCACGAACCTGTGTCCCCTGCATCGGCAGGCGGACTCTCAACCACTGCGCTACCAGGGAAGCCCGTATAATCTGCTTTTTTTTTCTCTTAACATTAGGTCACAAATAGCCTTCTGTTTCTATATAGTTTTGTAATATTTCAGAAGACTCTGCCAGGTTGTGTACTCATTGAAGGCGTCTGACTCCTTCTATTTCTCACTCCTTGGCAGTCAGTATATTTGTTTAACCAATGACAGAATGAATTATGTTCCATCAAGATCATGTACTGTAACTTACTCATCATTACCCTATTAATAAACATTTCGCTTGTTTCCAATATTTACCAAACACATATTTTACAGCACTTTTCTGTATAATTTCCTTTCTCGTTTCCAATTACTTCCTTTGGATAAATTTCTTGCCATGGGGATAACTGGGCCAAAGGGCCTGGGAACCTTTTAGCTTTTGACACATACATATGAAACTAATACACTGCAAAACCTTTATTGACCATATATTACATGCAACATGGGAGCTCAGATCCAGAGCTGTTGCAAAGATCAGTGCGATAAGGCCTTCGCCTTCAATGTTTAAGAGGTGCTCAACATTTAAATGCAGAACTCAGAAATTTACAAAAAAAAGCATGCTCTGCATTAATTGGTAACACAAGAGCAGTGACATCTGACCTGAGTCTTTAAGGATCTTAGGACCCTAATCTTAGGACATCTGACCTGAGTCTTAAGATCTTAAGATCTTAAGGGAAATGTCTGAGAAATTGAAAGGCATTGGGAATAGAGTATGTGGTGGGAAGCTTCTGAAGCTTTGGCTCAGACAACCAATGGAAGAGGGTGTTCTCGGGGTGTTCACAGTTTACTCCCTTATTACCTGATCCTTGTTCCAATTGTTGAATTATGAAACTTTTCATTAAAATTTTAACTTATAAGTGAACTCCCAAGAAAAGACGAAAATATTCTTTTGGCTTGAGAAACAAAGAAGAGAGATAAACAGTTTCATTTCTAGAAGAAAATTAGATTTGTATCATAAGAAACATTCATTCATTCATTTTGCTGAATAAGACAGAATAGGGAGAAAATAAGGAAGGTCATCGAAAAAACCTAAATAGCAATGATGTTGGTATCTAAGTTAAAGGAAGGCACATTTGAAAAGGACAGTTGGCCCTAAGAGCACAGCTGGATCAGATCCACCACAGCTTCTGGGCTCTGGGCTTCCCCAAAGCAGAAAGAAACTCCAAATGCAGACAGACATCTATGACTGAGTCCCAATCTACTGACTCTGTGCTTGGGAAGGTATTTGACATCTCTGAGGCTCAGTTTCTTCACCTGGAAAAAAAGAATAAACATGGTGCCCACCTCCTAGGGTTATTATGAGGATTTAGTAAGACTACCTTCACAAAGCTCACAGCACAGGCTTGGAAAGCATGGTCAAATAAATGGAGGCAACTATTTTGATTCTTTTTTTTTCCTTATTATGATTAGATTGAATCTTTCCCAGTGAGGAAACTCATACTATGTTGCCCTTGCCATCTTGCTTTTTTTAGTCCCAGAATCACAGAATTGTGGGTGGTCAGAAATAGTTGAGTCCAAACCCACACTTTGCAGGTAGGGGAAAGGAGGTCCAGGGAAGGCCAGAGACTGGCCCAAGATCACACAGCAAGTTAATCAAGGAGGTAGATATCTCTTAGTTTACTGACTTCTTTCTCCTCTTGATAAAACTATAGACCAATCTTATGGTGACTACAGTTAACAATACTGTATTGTATATTTGAAAGTTGCTAAGAGAGTAGATTTTAAAATTTCTCACCACACACAAAAAAACTGTAACTATGTGAAGTCATGGACGGGTTAACTAACCTTATTGTGATAATCATTCTACAATATATACACATATAAAATTATATATAGAAACCCTAAAGACTTCATCAAAAAACTGTTAGAACTAATAAACAAATTCAGTGAAGTTGCATGATACAAAATCAATACACAGAAATCTGTTGTGATTCTTTACACTAATAATAAACTATCTGGAAGAGAAATTAAGAAAATAATTCCATTAATAATTGCATCAAAAAGAATATAATACCTAGGAATAAATTTACCAAGGAGGTAAAAGACCTGTATATTGAAAACTACAAGATATTAATGAAAGAAATTGAAAAAGACACAAATAATGGAAAGATATTTCAAACTCATGGATTGGAAGAATTAATATTGTTAAAATGTCCACACTACCCAAAGCAATATACAGATTCAAAGCAATCCCTATCATAATTCCTTTTCATGAAATAGAACAAACAATCCTAAAATTTGTATACAGCCACAAAAGACCCCAAAAAGCTAAAGCAATCTTGAGAAAGAGGAACAAAGCTGTAGGCATTATGCTCCCTGATCTCCAACTATATTACAAAAACTACAGTAATTAAAACAATATGGTATTGGCATAAAAAGAGACACATAAATCAGTGGGTCAGAATAGAAAGCCCAGAAATAAATCCATATATATATATATATATATATATATATATATATATATATACGTGGTCAATTAATTTATAACAAAGGAGCCAGAAATATACAATGGGGAAAAGACAGTCTCTTCAATAAATGGTGTTGGGGAAACTAGACAGCTACATGCAAAATAATGAAACTGGACCACTATCTTACACCATATGCAAAAATTAACTCAAAATGGATTAAAGACTTGAATGTAAGACCTGAAACCATAAAACTCCATAGAAGAAAACATAGGCTGTACAACTATGTCAAGATCTTGACATAGGTCTTAGCAACAATTTTTTTAATCTGACAACAAAAGCAACAAAAGTAAAAAGAAACAAGTGGAACTACACTGCACTAAAAAGTTTCTGCAAAGCAAAGGAAACCATCAACAAAATGAAAAGGCAACCTATTGAATGGGTGAAAATAACTTCCAATCATATATATGATAAGGGCCTAATAACCAAAATACAGAAAGAACCCATACAACTCAATAGTAAAAAAAAAAATCTGATTTTAAAATGGGCAGAAGATCTTAGTAGACATTTTTCTAAAGAAGATATACAGATGGCCAATAGGTATGTGAAAAGATGTTTAACAACATTAATCAGTAGGGAAATGCAAACCGAAACCACAATGGGATATCATCTCTCACCTGTTAGAATGGCTATTATCCAAAAGATGAGAAATAATAGTTGTTGGCAAGAATGTGGAAAAAAGGGAACCCCTGTGCACTGCTGGTGGGAATGTAAATTGATGCAACCCCTATGGAAAACAGTATGAAGGTTCCTCAAAAAATTAAAAATAGAACTACAATATGATACAGCAATTCCACTTCTGAGTATTTATCTGAAGAAAATGAAAAAAATAATTTGAAAGGATATATTATCCCCATGTTTATTTCAGCATTTACAATAGACCAGATATGGAAACAACCTAAGTGTTCATTGATGAATAAATGGATAAAGAAATTGTGGTAAATACATACAATGGAATACTATGCAGTCATAAAAAATGAAATCCTACCATTTGTGACAACATAGATGGACCTCGAGGGCATGTTGCTAAGTGAAATATATCAGACAGAGAAAGACAAATACCATATGATCTCCCTTATATGTGGAATCTAAAAATTAAACAAACAAAAAGCCAAGCTCACAGATACAGAGAACAGATTGGTGGTTGCAAACGGGGAGGGGTAGAGGGTGGGAGAAATGGGTGAACTCTTTTTTTAGTTTAAATAAATTGAATAAAAATTTTTAAAAATAAAATAAAGTAACATCACTACATTGTACACATTAAACTTACAAAATTTCATGTGTCAATTATGTCTCAATAAAGCTGGGAAAAAATACAGTCCAATCCTCCCTCTAAGAGCAGAGAATACAGGTGGTCAATGGAAAACCCGTAGAAAGAGGATCTGCAGGCAGATGATTTAGGCAGAGAGGGAAGGTCTGCCCTCCTGAATGCAGAGTTTAACAGAACTGATCTGCTTGTGGTGACAGGTGCAGCCTGGGTGGTGCAGCCTTTGGTGACAGCTGTTCTGTGACATCAGTATCTCTAATGAAAGATGGTCAACAGACAGAGACTCACTGGCAAAGGATACCAGGATTCCCAGAAGCAAATGTTATCAGCCGCTCCCATCAGGATCTGGATGGGTAGACTGAGCCTTTGGGAAAAGGGCCACTGCAGAGGCTGGCCACATCCTGGGGCTGTCCCAATGCTTAGGGAAATGCCCAGTCCCTTCCAAATAATCCTACTCACTTTGGGCTTATTCTATGATCATTAAATGACCATCTGAGGGAGAAGCTGGATTTCCAGGAACATTGCCACCAAGAAAGATGGAGAATATATGCTTTTGGTTACTGGGAAAAGCTATCACCCCTTATAATCCACTGCATTGGGCATGTGGATAGTATCTGGTGGGCTTTCCATAATCTCTCTCTCTCTGAGACGCTGTCCCTGAAAGCCCAGGGGGGAGAATTCTCCTCTGGCCTCAAAAGGTTGACAACCACACCTGGGAACTTGGCAGCCCAACTCTGAGAGGTCCACTTTGGGTACCACCTGGCCCCTAGACAATGTCCCATTAGTACCCTCAAAATTGGGGCAGTCTGTCCCAACTCAGAAGCAAATTTTCTTTTCTACCTGCACCCCATTCTCCTGGTCCAGGGGGACCACTTCAGTTTCAACGTGACCTATAATATTGTTTGCTTAACTTGCTAAGTTGGCGACCACATTCCCCAGACCACATTCCCCACTACCCCAGAGTAGTATTATCCAAGAGCAAGTGAGAGAAGTA